CCTTAAAATTCGCGAAAATTGTAAAAATTCTCATTTCTATAAAATTACTGATTTGCATGTAATCTAAATAGTTGGTAAACACGCATTTTATGCATTCTATGCGTTAAATACTGAATTTTTACTGTACAAAAGGCCAAAGAAAATAAAATGTTACTAAGGAAGTCATAAGGAAATAAATTTATGATATAATGCATTTTAAATCGACACCCAAGTGTACTTCGTTTGTTTGCAAGAGGAATTATTATATATTTCTGTGTAGATAAATCGACACGATTTTATATGATACCAAGTAATTTTAGATGATATGTATTACTAATTCTAACATCAAAAATAAAAATTTTTACGCTAAAATTATTTTCATTTTATAGTTTTTAAATATTAAAATAGGCTGTTAATCTATTTATATTTTATACATGCATAATATATTTAAATCTTTCAAGATGATTTTGATATTTTTAGATTACATGCTTAAGTTTAAACTTCTTTCAGCGTCTTCAAAATATTTTCCAGTATATTTTACAAAAGAAATTTTTGAAATAAACGTAAGTCGCGAAATACAAATTCATATAACTTATGAGTCAGTATTATCTACTTATTGTCGAAAGTGACTGTGTTGCCATGTACTCAGATGGAAATAAAGTACTTTCTCAGAATAAAATCACGTAATAAGCAACCACTGAAATGATCTTGTAAAGGTTCAAGCCGCTCTCGAAGTTATTATCTTAAATGGTTTGGTTTGGTTTGGTTTATTTAATTACGGCAAAGCACACTAGGGCTATCTGCCTAAGGGGAGGGATGCTTTCGTGGAGGACTTTCTAAGGGAAACTGGCTCTTATACACGTTACACATGGGGAAAACCACGAAAACACCCATGCAGCCAGCCGTTCGCGGGATTCGAACCTCGGACCGAACTAACAGTGTTCAGCGACGTTACCGCTCGGCCGCTGGTGGGCCTCTTAAATGAAAAGATATCTTCACGGAAGACCTTCTAAAGAAAGCTAGCTCATGTTTTTAGGTTACAAATGGGAAAACCACGAAAACCAGCCGTGAAGCCATCCCGTTCTCCATGATTTGAAGCCAGACCAGACATTCACCTATCTTTTACCCTGGGCCAGTGGTGGACCTGATCTGAAGCCAGACCAATAGAGACATTTCAGTAAAAGTATTCAGCTTTATCAATTGCCTATTCTCAATAATGATATAATTTCTTTTTACTGTCTACAGTCACGTAAATGAACAAACTTTGAGCGTTTAGTTTATTCCCAGTAAGTGGCCAGTAAGGGGAAAGTGGATGCAAGCCTTTTGAACAAACGCCATTAAAAATAAAGGTGCCCCCTCCAACACTGAAATGTTTTACCGACGAATTGGTTCAAATAAAATACAATAGAACTCCAATTATCCGAATCAATTGGTACCGGATCCTATTCGGATAATTGGATTTTTTCCGAAGAAAAAATCTACACTTTACTTAATTACTGTGTACTGTATGTAGAAAATGGGATAAAAAATGGGATATTTTTAAAGAAAAAGAAGTTTTAATTAATTAAAATGAAAAGGCAACACTTTTGCGTACACGTTACACAGCGTACTGCACACTACTTACAAATGCTGAAAGTCATTGCTTGATGAACATCTCGGTCAAAGTAAGCTGCTTGACGGACACAGTGCCTGCACTTAAAATTTCTTAGTCAGCCGTTACTTGCTTTAAAGGATAAACAACCAAGCTTTTAAGCTAAGATCTTAGCTTTTTCACAAAGAATCGGATCCGAAATTAGGATTCCCATAGATCGTTGCTTCAAAAACCACTTGAAAACGACATCTTCTAAATTTTTGTTTGTTGCTGCATTGATGTTCTTGAAGAACTTCCATCTTCGTTTTCAAGCAGTGACTCGAAGTTTAAAAGTGTAGGTTTGCTCCTTTTAATATCCGAAATCGTTGATTGCCCAACACTAAGTTTCCGTCTTAACTTTCTTCTAAAACTCTGAAAGCGATTCGGATACCAATATTCGGTTATTCGGATGGTCGGAGTTTGGATAATTAGAGTTTTACTTTAATCTCAGTGTGTATGCACTGGTGTAATGAATTAGATGAGAATGGGCTTATTTACGGTATATTTTCAAAATATGCTATGTAGCTTTTGATCAATGGTTGTTAATAACTGAAAATAACAAAGAAGTTAAAAAATATGATCTCAAAACTAAGTTTATTTTGCAACGTTAGTTTACGCTGATTTAAGCAAAATACGTGAGAGGCATGCCTAAGGGATGGATGCTTTTGTGAAAGACTTTCTAAAGATGCTCTTATTTACTTGCTTTCACAGATAATTCGGACTTTAATTAGCGTAATTATGTAACCTTATATTGCAGTGTTATTAAGATTTATTTACCTTGAGATAAATTTCAAATCAAGATTCAATGTATTTCGAAAAAGAAAACAGTTGTGCTTATTTCCGAAAGCAAATTATCTTGCCACCATTTATGGCGAAACAGCAAATCAGCCAGCATTTATGACCAGAACTCAAAGTCGAATTTAAATTTAAAACTAAACCTAAGTATCTGTTAGCCAAAGGCTACGCAGAGAAATTTAAAAGCGAAAGTTGCTCTGAAGATTACACCGGCATGGAAGCACTATCAGTAAGAATAAAGCAACGCCAGAGACAGGAAACCTTATCTTAGAACAGCAAACTAATAACGTGGCCTTCAGCAGGCAGAACACGCTCTGTCTACATGTCTCAAACCCTCACTTAAATATGGGTGAGCTAATTTGCATTCGGGCAGGAAAATGAAAAGAGAGAATTGACAGTACAGGTTCAGAACATATAACTTGTTAATTAACATAAATGAATCTCACAAAATTATCATAAAAATTATTTTAGCCTTCATTTTTGTATATGAGAAACGGCACTAAAAAGAATTCGATTTTTGAACGATAGGACGATTTATATTTGATAAAATTTGCAGCGATGATTCAAGCACAGGAATTCAAAGTACAGAAATGCATTGATAAAATGTGAATCAGGTAGTTTAATATAAAAGATCTGATCTATGAATTTTTTCGATTTAATAGCCCTTCAAAATTTTCATAGTGTGTATGCAGTACAATGATTTCACCTTAATAAAGATTTCAGTATTATTCTGAGATACTTGTGAAGTCAAGGGTTAGACCTTAATTCAAACACTGGAAACTCCAGCACTCATAATCCTTTGGTTGACGTAGCCAGGCGAACTCTTCTTAGAATGGGCAATAAAAATCAAGACAGCAAAGAGGAAATCTTAAGGCATAAGTTTGCACTGATTGATGGGAATTCGAGAGATAACTAAGGCCTTGTTAAACTGCTAGACGAACAATATAACGCACTCTATAAAATCTAGAGCGCTCAAATCATTCCGTATTTGTCCGATAAAACTATTTTTCTCTCATAAAGTCGAGGGCCCATGAAAATGCTCTAAAGGCCCATAATAACTTAAAGGAACTGTGGAGGTGTTACGTTTTAGTTCTTTTCAAATAGTTCCAGAGTAAATTTCTAACTCTGATTTTACTAAGCAACTAAAAATTTCACCATTTTATTCCGGATAAGTCTCATGAACATCGAGCGAATGGAACAAATTCATTGCATTCAGAGATTCGTTGTAATTCGATATCAGCAAGATCTGCGTGACAAACAAAATACGAGCAGGTTTTTTTGCTTTCGAATGCACCAAACTGTCATTCAGCATGTACTAGAAGAATGATGAAAAGGCACATGAGAATCCGAATGTGTGTAGACTAATAGGACTTTTGGAGCATAAAAATAGAAAAAAAAAAAAAAAATGAACTTTGCTCTAGCTGAGATTCGATCTTCCAGTGGCAAGATGGACGTGCTAGCGATTTACATTGCAAGAGCCCGCTTTGGGGAATGTGATAATCCTTACATTCTTCTTCCACTTAAAGGGGGAATGAGAAAAGGCACGGAATTCAATTGATCAAATACCAGTAGTGGAGAGTACCATCCATACGCTTCTAATTTGAGTTCCTCTTAACTTAGTAAGATTTTCAAAGCATGAAATTTTAAAGTCAGCTGAGGTCCGGCCGGGATTTGAAGGAGGGTCTTTCGCTTGCAAGTTGAACGTACTAATCACTTATACCATTAAAGCGCGCGTAGAAGAATGTGATAATTTCTTTCTAGTGTTTTGTATTAAACTAAGAGCGCTGCATTGTTAACAGACATAATGCTGGGAGGTGCCTTTTTTTTGGAAGACATATAAATTAATGTCAGAAGAAATATGAATTAATGATTTATATAATATATTCAGTCCTTAAAATATTGGTTTAACACGGAATGTATGATTTTCAATAATACTTTTATTTTCTACATCTTTCACCTTTTTCCAGTTCCTTAGCTGAGATTTTCTTGACATAGGTTCCACAGGACCTTAGGATTCTGCAGTAGATTGAGATTGATAGTGAAGCAATTAAATCTAATTGAAGCTTCTCAAAACTTCAATCAATTTATCTTACTATAGTTATTTAATTGAGACATTTTCTCTTAAGGGATAAAACTTATAAAAAAATAAGAAAGGGATGCATTTCCTGAACAGTAAGCTAATCTTACATAATTTGTCTTTTTTGGAGAGAAACGTTCCTATGATTCGAAAGTTATTTCAAGGTTTTTCCAAGGCGAAATGCTCGAAAGAGGCTACTTTAAATAATGAAAGAATAAAACGTTCAGAATCAAACCGTTATCTGGCGATAGCAGTAAGAAATAAATGAAAGAATAACGGTTTTCTAATCACCCTAACCCACCCCTGAAGCTATTTTACTAAGGTCGACCAGATGGACCTGTCGAAGATCTTTCCTGACTTCCCTTAGTGCCACGCCTAATTTACTTCCTCCTAATGTGCTTTTAATCGTTTTTTTGCCTCGTTCAGATAATTATTTTGTCACCCCAAATAGCGTAATCTGCACTATTTTTTTTAAGCTTTAGTGACCATGAAATTTTCTGTCTCGTTATTTCGAAAAAGAACCCTTACGATTCTCGTCACGTTGTTCGAACGTATGAAGAAGCTTCGGATGAGCTGAGTATAAATACAAGACGGAATCCCTGTAGAATCACTCCACTCGTCTTCATCTCTTCTTCTGTTCGAAGTCGGATCCTTCTCCTCTTCCAAAATGAAATTCGTAAGTATAACATTTTCAATTTCTTAGCAAGCGAATTCATTTAAGGTCTATGAATGTAAGTTGTCCAGTAATAATTTATAATAATGATGTTCCTAATCAGTTCATAAATGTGATCGTTAATGATAATAATCAAGTTTTATTACTTTTTAAATGCCATCTGTGATCAAAAATCATATCAGATTATTTGTGGCAAGTCCACCAAGCAGCTGGAAGATTTATAGCTAGAATCTCGATGAACGCACAGTTGATTTTTCATGTTTCATGTTTAGATATGTAAAATAGGTTCTACAATAGCTCTTGAACTAAAATGTGGTGAAAAGTAATTCTTCACACTGGATTTGCTCGACTGGATCTCGTGCCTCTTCCTAGTCACAAGTTAAACGGCGAAGTAAAGAATTATCACTTTCCCACCGTATGTTCTCTCATAATATAAATGGAGAGTATGTCCAGCTAGCAGCTGCAAGATCCACGGTTCGAATTCTGGGGAAGGCACAGTTGATTTTTCATACTTCCATCCATAAATGTACATACATTGCTTTCTTATAAAAGTTTAGGCTAATTATGTTTTGCTACAAATTCTGTGTCTCTCGAAGTTTTCTTGCATTGTCTTTTTAATCCTTTTGCTTCATTCTTAAGGAGAAAGAATAATAGAAAGACATAAAATAGCTAAAGATCGGATCAATTTCGATGAAAAGTATTTCCAGAAAGATTTAAGCTCTTCCTCCTTTTTTACAAAGAAAATTTGTTATTAAATGTTATTATGTGTTCACAGATAATTTATTAGTAAAGAATTATATACTGAAGACGATTATTTAATTGATCGAATTGCTGATTGATAAGAGTTTACTGGGAAAATTGCCTGAGAAATTATAAAAAATTCATGATGCATATTCACTTGATAAAATATTAATTTTATACGAAATGTTCAATTTTTTAAATTCTTTTGCTTTTTAACCTGTCACATTTGCATACTTACTTTAGCTTCGTTTTCTCTGCGTGTAAGTTTTGCGGAATACCAGGACTATTCAACTATTCTTAAACAGAACTGAAATGATCGAATTGCCCCTAGAAAATGAGAGATCCTTTCTAGTTTCTGTCGAAATTTACAATTTATATACATATATATATATATATAAATAAAACTAGCATCCATATAGCTGAATTTTACTTGATTTTAAATTATCATTTGTTATACTTATATGCTTATTAAATGTAACTTAATATCAATGGTGTGAAGAGTTTACTACTTAAAATAAACAGAACTTTCTTTCTAGAAATAAGAAAGAATTATAATTAAATACAAAAATTTCATTTTCATTGTGGTGTTTTACTAAGTATATTTATTCTTTCTCTTCGGTCAGTTGTTAAACGTAGCATGATATTAATGAATGAGAAAATTTGTTTTTTAAAAAACAAAATCACTTAAAATTTCACAAAAATTCACTTGTAGTTTCACAAACATTTACTTAAATTGCACTAAAACGTTTTCGAGAAATACTTGAGAAAGATTTGAGATTAAATTTATTTCACCTTCGCAAAATAATTATCTTCAGAGTTTATGTTTAGACTTATCCTCAGCAGATGGCAGCACAAGCGTGACTTCGGACACGAATAATAGTCAGCCTTTAGAAATATTGCAACAATTTATGACACAATTCACGCGTCGTTTGACCCTAATGCTGAAATGGGTTGTTTAAAATAGAAATACAGCTACGCATAAACAAAATATCTGCAGAAGTTCCAGTTCTTATTTCTCAGGAAATGTGTTACAATAAAACTTCAACACATTTGCCCTATGAACAAAATTTGACTAATTTATCTAAGATTTGTCATGTAATTATTTAAAATCAACAAATACGTAAGCAAATGCATATTTTTCATATATAGCGGAATAAATAAAATATGCTCATATATTTATCTATTTGTTCATAATACTTGAAACATTATCGTATCATATTTTATCATATAATTAGAAAAAGCCGGAATTTATAAAAGCTATTAAAGTAGTAATCGAATTTCAACTTGCAAACAAATTTTTATAATATTAGGCATTTCGTTCGTTGTTTTATAGAAATGTTCCTCAATTTTAATATTATTAAATGGTTTGAACCGGACGCAAATGTTTATAATAGTTTTCCTTTCAAATAGTAAATACTGATTTCTCTTTAATCAATCGCTTTTCTTTCATTAAGATGCATTTCTTTCTCTTTTTCCTTCTTTTCATTATTGATTAGCCCATAGAGCCCTGTATTATATTTAAAGAAATTAAATAAAGAGGAATCTGCATACATTTATGTATGTTTCTCGCATTGTGATAAAACAACAGTATGTAGAGCCATCGAATTTTGAATAACGTATATCTCCACCCGAATATGGGCATCTGCAAGCCCAAATTTGGAATTTGGAATTTGTTTTATTATCTGTTTCATATTTTGTAAAGCATTTATGAGTTTTTGTTTAAAAAACTGAACGATTTCAATGCGAACAAGGGCAACACTGTACGGAAGGGAAAAAAAAAAAAAAAAAATCTCCAGCGTGCTAGACCGTGTATAGGAAATTCTTTTTTTCCCAATTAAGTTTAATTTAAGCTCTTTTGAGGACGTAGATTAGTCAACACAAGAACAGTCTAACCACGAAAGATTTAAAAACTTGCAAATTGGGTTATTCGAAGATGTATTGCTTACGTTGCACATATCATAATTAATCTTAGCTTCCAGATCGCGCTCATGAAGACCTTAAATCATAAAAATGTAATCTAAAATGTGGCTATCAAATTCGAGTTCTTTTTTGTCTTGTATCCTTCACTCTTTAAAAATATCTGTCATCATGTAAAAGGCTAAAGTTTATTTTCAAAGGTTTACGATCACGTAGACTGTTTATAAACACAGGCTTCTTTTTTTAACAGCTATCACAGAACAACCTACATATTGCTTAATGTATCTTGTATTAAAAGGAGATCAAAGGTGTTGCTGCATCAAAACTGCCCCTATTTTTTGACATTTTCACATCAACAGAGGAATCTTTTGAAAAGTTTTGAGCTGCTACATTATGCAGCCTTCCACAAACAAGCATTTATCATCTACGCAACTTGAGACATGTGACCATTCTACGGCACCTAACATCTCTGATTTATCTTTAGATAATCGCATTTGCGGCAGTAGCATAATTAGGTCTAATATATCTAGATCTCAAAATATATAAATACATTAGTTCTCAGAATGCTACAAGTTTGAGGTAACATAAAATCTTTAATTTATTTTCGAATTATAACTGTTAATGAACTGAACGATTTAAAAGCAATAAACTCATTATTTTGTAACTGAAAGTAGTTTTTTAATAATGCATCTAATTAATACAATCTGAAATATATTTAATTTGTAAACTGATAGATATAAACATTTGCAACGTTATTGTAACTAATTAAAAGTGTTTTTAACGCCCTTTGGGACAGAATCTTTATTTTGTTTATATACTATATTTCCTCGCGTATTTTCTCTTTAGTCTTTTAGTGTCAAGTTTCGAAAATTTAATAAATATTCGAGTAATTTTCCACCTTTCTCAATGCGTCAATAAAACTAACTCCCCTAAATTTTTAAATTGATTCTTTCACGTAGTGATTTTTTTGTCCTACTAACAAACATAGCAAACCACGTGCGGAGGTTACAACGAAATTTTCCCTTCTAACTGTTATGCCGCCTAATACAAGGAACGACCAATCACAATGAAGCATATACGAACTAATATTCAGTCGACAATTTCGCTCATCCAGCTGCACATTCTCCTTCTCTAATTACTTATGAATGATTTGGTGCTTAAGGAGTAGTAAGGGCAACAATAAGAAAGGGCAAAATTCAAGTTGCAAGGAAATAGAATGAAGACATTTTATTAGAAATAACAGTGTTGATATTACTATTCAGTTTTATTGGAATGTAGATTTCTTTTAAAGAGGTAATATTGTCATAGTAGTTTAGCCATGACTACTTTTCATTTTTTATATTTTTACTGTAACCGTTTCTTTCGAAAATAAATGGATTTGCATCATTTTCTCTTCTCGATTTTCAAACGATAAAGTTAGTTAAAAAAGGGTTAAAAATACGCCATGAAATACGGCATTTATTTATTCTTATTGTAAAAAGAAATCTCGAGGCAAAAGAGGTTATATTTCAGAAAATGAATGGAGTTTATTATTTATTTCAGCGTCAAGTGGCAAAAAGCATAAGAACAAAACCGTATTATTGTACTAATTTGTAAAAATTTTCTTCCCCACTATTTTTCAGTATAATATTTATTATACCTTTAGTGCAGTTTCTAGTCTTGAATAACAGGAACTTCTTTGTTTCTTTTGCATAAAAGTTTTCTGTAAATTAGAACCAGTATAAAGTTGAATTTTGTTAAGTTTTAAAAACTAAGAATAGGATTTCTAGAGCATCTTATAATACGTCGTGATTAAACACCCATTACGATCCATCTATTCTTTAGTATGATATTTTTTTATGATATTAGTAAACTGAACTGATATGAAATATGAAGACTGCTAGATATCACTTTAACCGACCTTTGATATGGAAAGCTTACCAAGCAGGAATTTAAATATCTCTAAACTGTATAAATTGTGCAGTTTTTATTGGTATAGGTTTCATAAACAAATTTTATGTCTGCCACGTAAACGTATTCACTGTATATTTATAAACGAAGGTTTTGCTTTTATTTTTTTGTTTTGTAAAAGTACAACATTTTTGGCAGATCATTGCAAGTCTTCTTCTGGCCTCCGTTGCCATGGGTGCTGATGTGGCTATGAACATGGCTGGTGGAGCTTATAACTTCGGCTATCACACTGGTGATGCTGGTGGTCACAGCAGAGTGGAATCAGGAGGCCCCGGCACTGCAGCTGGCAGCTACAGCTACATCGATGCTAATGGAGATTCCCGAACTGTCCACTACACTGCAGGACCTGATGGATTCAAAGCTTCAGGAGACATTGGAGTAGACAGGAAGACCGCCGCTGCCGCTGCTGCGATGGCTGCCCTTGCACCCAAAGCACCAGTCGCTGCTGCCCCTGTCGCCCCAGCAATTCACTCACCCTGGTACTATGGCCATCCTGGTGCATACGTCCACCATCCCGGTGCATACGTCCATCATCCTACTGGCTACATGGCTATGTGGTAATTCTTCCAAACTAAGGGCAGACATCATGGACTTGTTGATGCATTTTGTTGCCACGCTTATGGGGATCATTGCTTAGGTTCTTTTCTCAGGTTGTGATTTCCTGCTTCGGGTGTGATGTATGCCATATTCCTGTGACAAATCCTCAATGCCGGAGTGTCATCCTTACTCTAATATTGATGCTATATTGTAAATACGGTGGAAATAAATTGTGATTGCAACTGTTATGCTGCTGAGTGTGTTTTTATTACTTCAACTATAATCATATATTCATCGGTAATTTTATGCGATAGAACAGCTTTTAATTTTAATGTCTCTTACAATTACACTTCTTCAGCAAAATTAAATTATTAGATAATGGTAAGCTTATTACACTTTTCATCTTCATCTTATCTATCGTATGTTGCTTACAGCTTTCGTTTATGTATTTTGTTGCACGGGTCCGAAGCTTTATTAACCAAAAATTCGGTTTGAATATTATGTGTATGCCGTTCAGAAGACCAGGAGAAAAGAAAGCAGTTGCAACACAAAAACAATATTTTATTCCCTACAACTCTTGTAGAAACACATACGAATAGAATGAAACAAATGTAGATTCAGTTGAAATTCTGCTGTATATCGCTTTCGTCAGAAAATAATATACCTTTCGCATTATAAAATTTGAAAAATTTATATATCTCCATATTATACAATAGTTATATAATAAATTATGTAACTGCTATATAATATGACTCCTGTTCACTTGCTGTGTAGTTTACATAATTTCCCATAAAAGAATATTTCTTATTATCATCTCATAATTAATAGGGAAAGAAGGTCACTAGAAAATTATTAGATAAGGATTATTACCGTAACATTAATGCAGAAAAGGAAATTAGAATTCCTGAAAAAAATTATATGTACTTAATTTGGAGAATGATACAGAATTAAAGTAGCTATCTGGGAGTGAAAGGGAACAATTATTTAGATTTAAGAAGACAGCATTTCAAAATTAATTAATTTTTTATGGTGTTTGTAATATTTAGCATTTAAATTGTTCTCATAGGGATACCTCACTCTTACTTTGGAAAAGAGAGTTTTCTTACAATAGCATCATTGTTGTTGGAATTATCTAGAATACTTTCAGTTGGTTGTTTATTACGTAGTGCTAATGAGAATTAAGAAAATTAATTTAGAACATACTCCTCTCTCAAATATAGTAAAGATACAGATAGCACATATTTTTAAAGCAAAGTGAATTGCAGCTTTAGATTAAAAAGAATATGTAAAAGAGCGTTTATTGCAAACCTTACCATGTCTGCGTATTATTAACAACTTAATTACTTACTGCACATTGCTAAGCCTAGAAAATAAAATTAGTACAATTATAAAGTACTACTGTACTTTATTTATCACTTAAAATTTTGTCATTTAATTCATGTTAAACATGTCTTCAGTTAAGAGCTGAAATCGCATGAGAAGCAGTTGCGCCACCGAATTGAACGTAAGGTGTGCTACTAGAGTTGAATGCTTTTATTGTGAATAAACTGCGAAACAACTCCGGAGGTCCCACAGCTTCCTTCTACTTTCAGCGGTTTCCTGTGTAGTTCAATGGTCTCGTTCTGAAAATAAATTTGGGATCCCGCTGTTTTTAAAAAATCGGTCCCCTACATTACCGAAGCTTGTAGATTTCGAACTACAAAAATATAGATTTTTTAGTTTCATTCTTTATTTCCACATTAAATGTTGCTTTACCTATACATGCACAATGTTTGCCCTGCGCTGCAATAACTTTTTTGGGTCTTAAATAACCTATAATTTTAAAAATTACTTTGAAAAAATCGTTCCGACAGGAAGTTTGTTTGCGCCCCTGTATAGAGCAGGGTCTCTGTTGGCACCTTATTAGTCGAATGTGTATCATAGGCAGGGACAAATGTTTTATTATCACAGTGTTCAACTGAACTTTTAAGGGATTTTTATTCGAATGGGGTGATTGTATCCCCTTTTCAGCAGCCACCCGCCTTAGTTTAAATCCTTGTTAACTGCCCCCCTTTTTTTGAATCTTGCGGCCTATTTTGACGATCGCCTTTCTTTTTATCTTGAAATTTATTTCCAGTATAGGATTTCTTTGCTTGTTCCGTATATGGTCTAGAAAACTGTTCGTTTGGTCTTTGGCCAAAACTTCTTGTACGCGTACTTTCTGCTACCCTCCTAATCTCGAATTTCACCGCCAGCTCGAACAATTGTTCTAGAGTGCTGGGATTTCTCACTTCAATATAATCCTGAACTTGCGGCAGTAGTCGAGGAAAGATAATTTGAATTAATTCTTCATCTGTCTTTTTACCATATAACAAATTAGCGACTTGGACCTTGTGTAAAATGAAGTTAGATAACTCTTCAATCTGAAGTTGGTACTTGCCGTACAATTTGGCTTCAAGCTAGCCCTGTCTTTAACCACGGGAAAAGCTTTTACTACAGCGGCTTTAAAATTTTCGAACGTATATGTGGGGTTTCCAATCTTTCCCAGCCGAAATTTACCGATGCCTTTAAACCAGCTTAATGCCTGTCCTCGTAAGGCGGTCGTTGCTATCGTAATCTTCTGGACTTCAGGAACGGGATAAAGCAAAAAATGGTTATCTAAATTTTCTAGGAATCTAGTGACCGACGTTCTTCCATTAAATGTCACTGCGGGTTTCATGGAGGCCATCATTGTTTCAACAAGATAATCAAAGCCTTCCATAATATTGCCCGGAGCCGGTGGAGTTTGCGATGTCTATTGAACTAGCTCAGCTGCAGCTTCGTTGTCATCCATGAGTTCGGAAAAATTCGGGCGCCACTTATAGGGTCTTTCTCTCTTTTCCCACATAAACTAGATTAGATTCTAAAATGATCTGGCGAATTCTCACACAGGCCTGAAGAAAACTACCGTCTCAGAAGAAGGGTGAAAAATAACCCTCTTTTAAATCAAAACAGTTAACAGAAAGGCATAGTCTTCGTGCGTTACAAAGGCACCGTCAACTTGAGGTGACAACTAAAACGTAGAATATAATTTAAGTCAAATATAAATAAATAGGGCTAGATAGCACTTAAATTACGCCTAACAGGTGGACTCACAAAAACCTAACCGGCGTGATGAAATATCCGATATGGCCAAGAGGCTTACTAGCGTAACAGCGAAACAACAACGAAACGTGCAAAACACGCTCTGAATAAACTCAGATTTACCCGTTTAAATATGCACTTCACTTAACTTTAAATTTACATTCTGGGGAGAGAGTGTGAGGGGAAGTTGAGAAGTTTAGATAAAGATATCAACTTAAAATAAATTTATTATGCAAAATAAGAAAACCCCTACTATTGTTATAATGCATTCTTACGATTGCGGCTGGACTGGAAAGTAATTCGTTGTATATTATAGCAATTACACCTAGACACTTTCTGTACAATCTTCTAGGTATAACTTCAAAAACATACAACGTGACAGTATGTTAATTAATTATTTTCATACGTTTGCATAAAAGGAAATTTTTCTGCATAAAAGGAAATTTTTATTGAATTATAATTGGTACACAAAATGGAGCTATTTACACTAGCCAAACTTTTACATTTGTTTAATTCGGCAAATATACATGATATAAAGTTTGCTACTTCTTAGAAAAGTTTTCTCTATGCATCTCATGAATGCTATGCATTGATTACTTAGTCGACATATGCACTTAACTTTATTCATTTTAGGTTATTATCCGTGTGGCATCATCCCATTCCTCATAAAAGAGATTTATATCTTCGTCTTAATAAATGCAAAATCTTAGAGTTTAAAAAAAACAGATCATGACCTTTGATGCACTGAATATCATTAATGGCTGGAATGATGTTAATTAAAAAGCTTAATTCCAGTTTATGACAAGAAGAAAAAAAAAAAAAAAAAAAAAAAAAAAAAAAAAACTAATCTCCGATGTTGAAAAACAGAAAACGTCTGCTGATCAAGAAAAAATAGCATTGGATCTTATCAAAGTTATGTATTTCTGCCGTTCAAAGATCTATATATATAAAAGAGAAAAATCAGAACAGACGATTTAACAAGACAGAAATGAAAAAGTACGCAGGTTTTATTTCACATAAAAAAATTCTCGATGCAGTGGTACAACTATCAGGTTCAGTGTTCCTCCTTACTTGCTTCGGGAACATTACATGACCTGACTCGGAACAGGGAGCTTACTAAAGCTATGTTCAATAAATGTGGGAAGTAGACAAGATACACAGGAAGGGTATACGAAACCCTTTATTTTTCTCTCTTTACAATGATTTCCGGACTTTGGAATACAGAGACCAACCACTTGTGGTCTGAACGTAAGAATATAAAAATATTAACTAAGTTCTAACTAAACTAACTTTGGATTAATAAACAAGGGTCTACTTGAAGATTGGCCGTATATTAACAGAAAGGCCGTATGTAGTACAGAGAACTGTTAACACTACGATACGTTTAAAATTATCAAGAGGATTAAACCTCTGGCCTTGAAAGCAACCAGCAACCGAGTAAAACTGCTAAGGCAAGCGGCCTGCTTCCACTAACTCCTTTCTCTCTCTTACTTGGCAAAAAGCCACAACTTAAGTACTTGGCGTTCGCAAGACAAATTTTCATAAATAAGTTAAAGCTTTTAATTCTGGCCGGAAATAGAAAATAAGAAGTGATAGTAAAGATTTAAAATAAAATAAACGTTAGTAAAACTTAAGATCCTTACACAACAAGAACTATATGAAGGGAGGCTGGACACAATATAGCGAATATGACCACGGTGGGGCACCTGGAAACTGTTGGACTAGATGGATAACCAGACTGATTGAAATTATAATGGGAACAAAATTAAAAAAAATTAGAGGGGTTTGTATTTGTAAAGTCCTGAAACATTCTCAAGTTTGTGTTGTAGAGTCATTAGGCTTGTTTCAGGTGAGAAAACAGGAAAAAAGAAACAGTGATGCTCTTACTGGGAGTCGAACACCGGACCTACTGATGTCATTTGAATGTGTTTCCAATACACCCCAAAAGTACTTTATAAGGAAGAAGAAAATTCTTACAATTTTCCCCAATTAAAGGACGATTAGATGGGAAGGGAGTCCAGGCACCAAATTCAAGTGGGGATGAGTTATCGTCTTCCACATTTTGCTGGACGCCACTGAATAGGCTTTTATGCTTTTTTGCAGCAGGAAACAGTAAAACTTCACGATGCCCTCACTGAAATTCGAA